TAAAATAATTCACTTAGAAAAGAGGACACAGATAGATGTTAATGCTACATATTGAGAGTTTTAATATATTAGGAATAAATATCTCCTTTGAGATAGGGTGTTGGTAAATGAATGTTTAATTTTTTTGGGGCGGGGTGCAGGGGGGTTTCACTCCACATGTATTATATAAGTAATATTCACAAGAGATTGAGAAACATAAGGTACAGCACAAGAAAATTAGAAATAAAAAGGTATACTGAAAAATTAGAAACACTCATTCACAGTTCAAGGTTTGATATAATTTGAAAGAAGAAAGAATTATAAAGAGAAAGGGTTAGGAATAAAGATAGTGACCCACCTTATATACAGAAATATAGTACATCTTTATAAAAGTTAAACAAATAAGGAGATAATACCAACAAAATAACAAATATAAGAGAAAAATGAAAAATCAAGATATTTGTTAAGTAACTTATACTGAAAAAGGGATATAGGTCGATATTAATAATGGGATTGTATAACATCTAAGGAACAAATACCCTTCTCTGATGTTGGTAATTTTTATTTATTTTTTTCTCCCTTCCTCTCCCTTTTCCGCTCCTCCTCCTCCCTCTCTTAGACCACTTCTGGTCCATGATTAAAATGTCAGCCTGCAAGTTTCAAGGCAGTTCTTAATCCCCAATTAACTCCACGTTAGTTTGGAGTTTGTTTCCCACATCCAGGGTCATAGGATGTGGTATTTGGGCCCCACTAAAGGGGAGTGGAGACGGAATGTCTCATGTATTATTTACATGAGGTTGTGTGTTTTTAATTGTTCTATATGTTGTATTTATTTTTCGGCTCTTTTGTATATTGAGTGTGCCGAGAGAGAAAATTTCTATGTACATAATGATATCCAATGGTTAAATTTATGACGTTAAATGCACAGAGGTTAAATAATCCTAATAAGAGAGCTATGGTATTTAACTATATCAAAAGGGAGGGAGCTAAAATCATATTATTACAAGAGACTCATTGGTTAAATAAAGATATAAAACGCCTTATTCCGAATAGTTTTAATATTAAACTATGTTCCTCACTAGGGGATAAAAAGAAATGGGGGGTTGCCCTTTTAGTGACTAACGATCTAGATATCTTGCCTAATCAACCAAATAATCCAGAAATATATTTTAAAAACAAAAAGATGAAAAAGCTTTAGATTAAACAATTGAACTCTATTAATGAGTCTCTCTCGGAAATAGAGATAAGGAAGGCAATAGATATGTTTAAAAAAAATAAAACTCCGGGCCTGGATGGGGATTCCAACTTATTTTATCAACAATTTAAGGATATCTTGGTAGTACATCTTAAAGACCTGTTTAATAATATAGTCGAGGAAAAGTCTATCTCTAAAGAAATGTTATATGCAAATATCATTCCCATACATAAGCCAGAAAAATCAACAGAATATGTAAAAGAACTAGCGTCCTATTTCTTTGTTTCTTCTGATATAAATATTTATGCAAGTATCTTATCAAATAGGATGCAAAGTGTGCTACCATATTTGATCCATTAAGATCAGGTTGGCTTTATTAAATACAGATATTCCAACAATAGTGTGAGAACGATAGTTGATATTTTAGATAGTATTCATGTGTGCGGAGACCCATTCTTGACCCTGTCATTAGACGCAGAGAAGGCCCTTGATAGGATCAGGTGGGACTTCCTGAGGGCAGCTATGAAAGCCTTTGGCTTTGAAGGCTGGATATTAGATGCCATTATGGCTCTATATGTCTGTCCGATGGCCAGAACCATAGGGAGGGTTATAACATCAGATTGGTTCAAAATAGGTAACGGAATGAGACAGGGATGTCCCCTCTCCCCGCTATATTTTCTATATATTGAACCCCTGGTGTGCAAAATTAGAGAAAATTTAAAGGTTAAAGGAGTTAGAATATGCCAAGAAGAATATAAAACATTACTATATGCAAATGATGTCTTAGTCATCATTTCAGACCCTGAAATATCAGTAGAAGAATTATTAAAAGGTTATATCTGAATTTGGGCAATATTCGAACTTCAAGTTGAATGTAGATAAAACTATTTTTCTAGCTAAAAATCTAAGTTAGGAAGAGAAAGGGAGGATTAGGGCAAATAATTTTGAATGGGCAAAAAAATATATCCAATATTTGGGTATAAAAATTTCTAGGGATCCAAATAAGATTATGGAGACTAATACCATGCCTTTAATTAAACAAATAAACAATTAAAATACCTGAGAAACGTAGAGATATCATGGATGGGCAGGATAAATGTTGTAAAATCTTATTTAATGCCTAGATGGAGTTATATATTCCGTATGTTACCTTGGAAAATGCCCAAACCATGGCTTACGATGACCCAGTCAGCCTTAGAAAAATGTATTTGGTTGAAAAAAAAAAGCCTAGGCGCAATAAAAAATAATATTACATTTGAAACCAAAAAATGAAGGGATGGGCATGCCAGATATTACAGAGATATATGAGACATGCTCGCTGGCACATATAGTAATAACTTTGAAAGAGAGCTCTATGGGGGAAGCCTGGGCAAAAATAGAGGCTACAAGATTGAAAGTTCCAGACTTACTGGCCCTATTTTGGAGAAGACATGGGAAGGATAAAGATAACATAGCTTTATTTATAAATAACTTATCTTCACAGTGGAAAAACTGGAAAAAGAGACTTAAGATATCAGATAAAATTATTAACGACCTGCCAGTGAGCATCTTGACAGCTAATATTGAAGAGCTAAACGTTAAAGCTTGGACGGCTAATGGTATCAATAGAATAGATCAGATAATGCAATAGAACCAGATTATGCCCTTTGAGGAAATTAGACAAATGTTTACCTTCCCATATAGAGAAAATTTTACATATTTGAGGGTAAAGCATTTTCTTACAAACATAGAGTATATCGGAGGGATTACAAATTTTCACAAATATAATAAATACTAAAAATAATAAAAATGTATCAAAATGTGCCAAACTTTATAACCTATATAAAATAATCCTGGTGTTTCCAGCATTAAAGTCATGGGAAAAAGATCTACAAATTAGTATCACGAAAAAAGAATAGTTAAGTGCAAATAATGCAGTAATCAAGGCCATACATTGCTTAAATTTAACTGAGAGCCATTATAAGATTATCAATAGATGGCACTATGTCCCTACTAAATTGGCAAGAATGTATCCAGACACACAACATAGGTGCTGGAGATGTAGCTCTTCTAGAGCAGACTATGTCCATATTTGGTGGCCCTGTCCGATAATATTCCAACTATGAGAAAAGGCAGCAAAATTTTGCAAAGAAGAGATGGAGGCAGATTAAGATTTTACTTGTAGATCAATGATACTAAATCTCGGATGGCCCATAATGCCAACGAGTAAAAAAGAACTAGTTATACATATTCTAACAGAGACCAAAGCAAGTTTGGTAAGATATTGGAAACTTCCAGATACCTCCCTTGGGAGATGATAAACAAATCAAGTCCTGAACCACTGTAAAATGGAGATAGGGATATTGAGACAGGATAACTACTTTAACCCAAGAATAGAACAATGGGAGAAATGGATAACAAAAATGGATAAATAAGAATGAAAAATCATGAGATAAAATAGAGACCCACATCCTTCCCCTAATATACCCCATAACTCTAATTTTAGGGACTGGAAAAGAACAGTTGAAAAGTAACAATTATTAACTCGTATAGGGCACATACAATTGATGACTCAACTATATGCAGGGGCGGACTGAGAGCCTTTGGGGCCCCCGGGCAAAATTAGATCCCAGGCCCTTTGAAGGCCAAATATATGTGCATTAAATAAATGTTAAATATAACTCATAATACGGCATTCCTTTGGATGTGTATATTGTGAAGACCTGTGTATAAATGCATGTTTGTATTGGAGTCTGTGTGAATGCATATGTGACAGGTGACAGAGTGTGTGAGGGAGAAGGTGACAGGTGGAAGAGTGTGGGAGGTTGTGACAGGTGGCAGAGTGAGGGGGTACCTGGTGGCAGAGTGAGAGAGGGAGGGGTTGAGTGGTGTCAGAGTGAGGGGGAGACACAGTGAGTGGGGGTGACTGGTGACAGAGTGAGGGAGTGGGTGACTGTAACGGACCGTTTTGCCCAAAAGAGGTTAAAAAACGTTTAGGCGATATTCCCCTTTTTCAGCTGCACAGACAGCTACTGCAAGCACCAATCTCCTGAACTGCAAACCCACAAATTCACCAACTCCCGAACTGCATACCAAGGGAATACTGGAAACTCCCGAACTGGAGACACACGAATAGCTGCTGGCAGACGAACAGGAAAAGCCTACAATCAGCTTACACTCCTGGCAATCAAACTGGAACAGCATACAATAACTCCTTCCCCAATAATGAGATGACACTTCACTTTGAGGTTTAAGCAGGAACTCTCTGTAATGGCCACACACTGGCTTTTATGCAAGTCCCCATGCAAGGGGACATAAACACAGTACAACCAATCGTTACAGGGGAACCGTAAAACACACCCACAATTACATCACAATCCCTCCTCTCTGTCCTGGAGATAATTGTGAAGTAATCAAATTATCTCCAAGGACAGAGGCAAAACTCCATTAACCACATGGCAGACAAAGGACAATAAAAGACATAAAATTACATACGGTTACATTTATTCCAGAAAACATTGACATTCTACATATCCCCAGATAGCTTAGATCTGAGTGCACATTACTACCGAATGGCGCTCAGATCACATACATACAGTTCAATCGCCATGGAGCCAAAGTCTTTCATACAGTCTTTCAGTATACGGCTGGGCTCCATGGCATAGCTATCTGGGGTAGCATGGCTTTAACAGTCCGCAGAAAGGCACAAATAAATCTTTCTGCCGGTAAAATAAAAGTTTAAAATGCAGGACCATAGTCTAAAGGGAGCAGGCGAGCAACCAGGCTTCTCCAGTGTACAGTGGCGAGGTTGGTTTTGCCACAGTGACTAGTGACAGAGGGAGGGAGAGGGGGTGACTAGTGACAGAGTTAGGGAATGGGTGACTAGTGGCAGAGTGAGGGAGGGAGAGAAGAGATGACTAGTGGCAAAGTGAGGGAGGGAATAGGTGACTAGTGACAGAGTGAGGGAGTGACTGGTGACAGAGGAAGGTAGTGACTAGTGACAGAGTGAGGGAGGGGGTGACCCCATCCCTCTCTCTGTCACTAGTCACGCCCTCTCTAACTCTGTCACTGTGTCACCCACTCCCTCACTCTGTCACTAGTCACCCCATCCCTCTCTCTGTCACTAGTCACTCCCTCCCTAACTCTGTCACTGTGTCACCCACTCCCTCACTCTGTCACTAGTCACCCCATCCCTCTCTCTGTCACTAGTCACTCCCTCCCTAACTCTGTCACTGTGAAGGAAGGAAGGGGTGACTGGTGACAGAGTGAGGGGATGACTGGTGACAGAGTGAGGGAAGGGATGACTAGTGGCAGAGTGAGGGAGGGAATGGGTGACTAGTGACAGAGTGAGGAAGGGGGTGACAGTGACAGAGTGGGGGGTTACTAGTGACAGTGAGGGGGTGACTAGTGACAGTGGGGGGGTGACTAGTGACAGTGGGGGGTGACTTGTGACAGTGGGGGTGACTAGTGACAGTGAGGGTGTGACTAGTGAGTGAGGGGTGTGACTAGTGACACAGTGAGTGACTTGTGACTTGCACAGTGGGGGGTGACTTGTGACAGTGGGGGTGACTAGTGACACAGTGGGGGTGACTAGTGACACAGTGACAGTGAGGGGTGACTAGTGACAGGAGGGGGTGACTAGTGACAGAGTAGGGGGTGACTAGTGACAGTAGTGAGGGGGGTGACTAGTGACAGTGAGGGGTGACTCATGTGAGGGCCCCACAACCTATCAATTAAATAGTTTTTTGCGTTCCAGTTGGAGATCTCTGATCTCTCCAGCTGGAGCATTTTGTGCTGCTGGGCCCCTGACTGTCCCTCGTCCATGACCGATATGCCCGAGTGGTCAGTCCGCCCCTGACTATATGACTACACATCTATCTGAGTGAAACACTATATATATATATATATATATATATATATATATATATATATATAGCGATATAGGGAATGAATAATGAGTACTATTGTTTTTTATTGTTATGAAATAATAGAAGATAGAAAACTGTATAAGGATGTGAATGAGCAATAGGAGAAAGAGAGAAAAGAGATGTATAAGTCCCACTTTCCAATATATGTAGAATAGATATAGAAAATTTTCATTTTCCATTTATTCAAATTCCCCATGAGAAAAACAGTTAAATACCAAGAGCTACTTTTTTTTTCCCTTGAAAATGATGTATGATAAAGTGGATTAAGATAATCTCCATAGCATAATCATCATAGTTCAAGAAGAGAATACGGAGATCAGGAAGAGAGATAAGAATAAGAAGGGAGCTTGGATCCTATTCTATAATATATTAGTAATGTTCTGTGGTCATGGCCCTATAAATCATTGCTTACTATACTCTCTTATTCGTCTGGTAAAAAACCTCTCGGCAGTTCTGTTGTAGTTCTGTTGTTGTCTTTTTTTTTTTTTGTCTTTTGGAGAAAGATAAAAGAAAGGTCAAGGGGAAAGGAAAAGAGGTATATATAACAATCTGATTGCTTGAAGCATAATTAATATACATGTGAATGTGTACTTCTTATATATCTTTGTCCAATTTTACTTTATGTTGTTCTGTTTTTGTTTTTTTGTCCTTTGTTGTTGTATTGTATGAAAACATAATAAATATTATTAAAAAAATAAAAAAAAAGTCTGAGCCTGTGGGTAAAGCCTAGAATTTTGGGAGGGGTTAGTTTGCCTATTAATATACAGGCTTCCCTTTCCTCTGTGCTGTTGCTGCCTGGTTTCAGATCTACTTACAGTTCAAAGGTCATCAACACAAACTGCCTAAACTCCAAATAAGCTGATCTTGGCCTAGTGTGGCCCACACAAGTATTAATTTTACTTCACTAACTACTAACGCAAATTCAGCCGATTTCAATCGTACATAGCCTCTCAGAGCTGCCTAAATTCACCTCATGCATTCTGCTTACTGTATTTGGCCCTCACTAGGCCATATCGACTTTTATCATATACATTTCAGTTAGTCACACTGCTTTTTAATGTTTTCTTTATGGCTGCCCTCTTATCATTCAAGCATGCATTCTCTGTACACAATACAACTTGAAAATAAAGGGGAATATCTTCTAAATGTAAAAAAACAACAACGAAACAACCTCAAACTCATAAAATATATATCATATACATTTATGCGTTTCAGTTAGTCAACCTACATTTTAATGTGTTCTTTGTCTGCCCTCTTGTTATTCCAGCACTCATTGGGCATACATTGTTTAGTAAATATGTGGCTTGGTGTTGTTACTGACTGCCAAACTTGAGCCTATACATCTGGTTAGCATTTATGGTACTGCCTGTTAATAATCTGTTTTATTTCACTGTCCATCACTACTTTGGTTTAGCCCCTTTTTGTGCTCCACACAAACCTAGTCAAACATACTTTAATATTATGTTGGTCATAATGACATCAGGCCCAACCTTGTGCCTATACATGTGGCCATGATAAATTTATGACACGTCCAAGTTTGGGCCTATACATGTGGTTAGCCTTTATGGTACTGCTTTGATGATAATCTGTCTTATTTCACTGTTCGTCACCACTTACATTGTCTTAGCCCTTTCTGGGTTAAGGCCGCACAGGCCTAGTAAATCGTACTTTAAAATTGCCAGGCATAATTATGTCTGTTAACTACTGTATGCACGTACGCTGGTTCTACTGGTCATACGCTAATTTGCAGTTTGTTTAATATTATTATTATATTTATATAGCGCCATCAAATTCTGTAGCCCTATAATGCCTCTAACAAATGGGGCAGGCATTTGATAACTGAATGTTTTTTCTTTGTTTGCTGGCCACATCCAGCCCACATTTAGCTGCTCATGCACATCAAACTTTGACAAACTTGCATACTTTCGCATCACGTTCTACCACTCAGGTTCCTCATCAGCATTTTAGAAACGGTTCACATCTCTGCCATCTGCAGACATCATGTTTTCTCTGTTACACTAACATGTTTCAATCGTGTTCGACCGCATTTCAACTGGCCCAGGTATTGTAATTACTTTTTACTGTTATATTCATATGATCCACATACGTTCAGTTTATCTCATACAGTCATGTTTATTTAGCAATAAAGTTATAGCTTATGCTAATATTACTGTTATTCTACGATTATTTTAGCCTGTGCCGTTGCATTCAATCTTATTCTTCCAGGCTAATTAGAAGTATTTACCATCCTCCTAAGAATTCCATAAGTACGTAAGTAACCATTTGTCTTATATCTCATTAAACTCTTATGTATGGTATATGGCCATCAAAGCCACTAAAGCTTTTCGCCCACTGTTGCATTCTAGAGGCATGGGCCTCAGTTCCCGTTATGAGTCGGTCTGCAGATACCACGATTATTTGGATCAGTGGGTATGTATAATACTAAGTGTATAAGAGTTTAAATACGGTCTCTATTCTGTTCAACATTTCATACACTTGATATTTATTAGTAACTCTCCTGTCTCATCATCAACATGTCTCAGTCCTATACAAATATTGCACAACTACACAACCTTTTTCTGTTTTGCATCCTACCTGTTGCCTGCATTAATCCCAACACAGATCACGCAGCCAATAGTCCTCACTAAGAATTATCATGTTTGTGCATATGCCTGGCAGTGGACAACCAACCTTATCCTATTCCGGCATCTCTTTTGAGTATTGTCCATTACATTTGTCTTACAGCGGTTGCATACTACCCCATTATGCTACATGTTACCAAGAACGCACCTCCATGCCCTCATTAGGCATTCTCCTTGAGTAACTGTAATTCCACCTACATTATCTTTACCACACATTAAGCACTTCGGTCTACCTGCATCTATTTGGTTGGTTTCATTATCTCCTTCATAGGCCTCAGATTGAAACTGTGCACATAGCTAAAGTTGTAAGTAAATATGATTATACTGCTCTTGTTTCAGGTCCTAAGCCTTCACACGTGGCCTTACTAGGCCTTCATTACATTCCCATCATATGGCCCTCTGTAGGGTGGCATTATGACATACCCACCCTTCATGGCTGCCTGGGTTGTATATACTAATCCTAACAACATTTCATTACATCACTTAGTCTCACTAGGCCTAAATCAACCAGCCTATATGGCCCTATCTCGCCCGGCGACACTCACTAGTAAATTAATCCCTTATTCTAAGCATTTGTGACACTTTATTATTGCACAGTAATAAGTATTATCAATCAAGTCACCTACATCAGGACAGTACATATTTTTTGGCGTTGGTGACACCGAAGAATGTCCTTTGACTTTAACCTTAGATAGCCTACACTAATTACTTTATTACCCTTCTAGCCTAACTGATCTTCCTACCATTCCTATAGACCTGACCTGACACAGGTATTACACAACTCTTAAACCATGATACAAGTATCCTTTATTTCTTCATTCCACATATCTATTCCCCTTAGACAGCTCTATTTCTGTATCCTGCCTCTCAGGACCTATTGTCCAGCTTCACTCTTCCTATACATTTTCTCCTTACTTCTTATATTGGGCCGCTTCCATCTTGCACAATATTTGTAAGCAATAGGTGTTTAGTCACCTCCTTCATGACACTATAAAATATATTTAGTGTCGGTTACATACTCGCCATCATTTAGCATCAGTCTTCTAGATGGCCCTCCACCACATTCCATGTTGCCACCCTTCAGTCTGACTACTCTTCCTATAGGTATATGTGGACAGAAAGAAACTGACCTAATAGAGTGGAAAAGGTAGTTTTTCAAAATAGAGACTAAATCTTGGGGTAGCTCCCCATACAGTGTAATGTAAAATAAAACAACAAAATAGGAAGCATGCAAATCCACAAAATATCTCAACTGGTATAGTTAAGCTCCCATAATAGCTTCAAAGGTAAAAAAGTAACAGGCAGAATTAAAAAATCCTAAACTTAACAGGAGATGACTTGTGAACAATGTAGATATATAAATAGTTGCGGTTACCATATTTGGTTATATATAATGTATCTCTTTAAAAGGAGTAGTGAATCTACACATTCATAAAACCATGTGAACATTATATAAAGGATCCACAGGAGGTATTACCAGGAAAAGTGCTGCCCCTAGCTAGAAAAAGTGGGTCACATCAACTAAGTGGTAGATAAAATCAGGGTGAAATGGAAAATGCTGGGATAGCAAAAACAAGATGCTGTAGAAAAATTGCATCCAAGTATGCTCAAAATGAGTA